GCTTTTGGAGCCAAAATTGCAAAACAAAAGAAGAACAAGCAAACTCATTTCCTATTATATAATGTATTATAAGCAAGTATACCTATACAGTATATTATACGAATATGACATAAAAGCTTCATAACACTTTACAAAAAAATGTCACAATGGTCAATGGTGATACAGCCTGAGTGACACAAATAATTCCCTGGGTACTCCGGCTTCCTCCAACAGTCCAAAGACATACAAGTTAGGTTAATTGGTGACCCTAAATTGCCTGTAGGTGTGATTGTGAGCGTGAATGGTTGTCTGTCTCTATATGTCCAGGGTGTACCCCACCTCTCGCCCAATGTCAGCTGGGATAGGCTCCAGCACCACAGAAAATGAATGAATAAGTAAAGAAATGTAAGGAAATAGAGAGATAGTCTAGTGTTTGACATTGATTGGACCTACAGCAGTCAAGTAACCACCTCAGCTGGGGAAGGGCAACACCATTTGCACAAACCACAGGCAGAACAGCAGTACACCATAATACTAGAACCGGTAGTAATACAAATGGTGGCTTGATAAGTGTATTCATGATTATTTCAGACAGCAGCATGTGGTTGCCCATTGTAGCGTGGTAAAAAATAAATTATGTATTTTTTATCAATATATTGGGGTGGACATTCTAAGCATATTTTATATGCTCATATATATTATACATTGTAAATACTGCCTTGAGGCACCCATACCACAAGAGATGTTTACTAGAGCAGTATACTTATAACTAATTCTGATTCTGACTCATTCCGCTGTAGGAAAGTTTGGATGTCCAATTCTTGATTTCAGTGTAGCAAGTCATAAAACAGGAAACATCAGTGGTGCCAGGCTTTAACAGGACATATATCTGTGTATCATCCCCACAGCAATGACAGTCTATGCTATGTCTGTGCATGATTTGCCCCAGAGGCAGCATGTATATAGTAATTAGGAGGGGACCCATAGTAGACCCCTGGAGAACCCCCCAAAAGAGAGGAGCATAAGAGGAGGAGGCAAGGGAGAGAGGGATCTTTGACAGATAGGAGATGAACCAATCCAGAGCCACATGACTGATACCAATGATAAAGGGTGAAAGGGTGCAAGTTTCAAATAAAGACTCTGGCTTTTTTAATCAGATCATCTGTTTATTTTGTGCTGCAGTGTGAATCCAATTTGCAGTTTGTCCAATTTGGTGCAATCTTGAGCTGACAGGGAGCTATGCAATGACTCAGTGACTTTTCTTCCCCCTGACCAATAATGTCTTCTCACATAAAACCAAGCTTTTAGATGTTAACACAGGCAGCTATGTAAGGAGAGAGGGCCTAGTTAACAGCCTGAGGCGCTGGGGTGTGTGGATACATTGATCTAGCAGGGAGCAAAAAGCACTCCCAGAGCAGCGCTAAAGAGCCTCTGGCTTATATTTATCAAGCCTCTCCGAGCGAGACCGCTGAACTCGGATCAGTGCTTGGGTCACACCACCATTTAAACTTCAATAAAACTACAAGAGTAAAATGGGTCACAAATCACCAGTGTAGCATAGCTGGCTTCTACAGAGACTAAATCATAAAAATAAGATATCAGATCATCAATGAAACAGGAGCTATCTAAAATAGAATAAGAGGTGTTAAATCAATATTTTAGAGTACTTTGAGGACATTTTTGTAATCTATAAAACTGAAAAAGTTAAAGACATAAGAGCCATTCAACGGCAGTGCTCCCACACTGGTCCTGCACGCCCAGACTTTAAAGATATTAATGCTGCCTCATGCATACACTTTAAAAGTCCCTTTGCCTCTAAACTCATGAAACTTTAATTATATATAAAGGACTTTATTTTTCAGATGAAAAATGAAAAATTCACTTTTTATCTCTGCCAAAGAAACAAGGATGTTTTTGGTGGAAAGGAAGCTAAAAATGACCCTCGAGTGTCTTGTCATAAATTGAATCAAGCACTGAAGTTAACAGGAACCCAAAGACACACATAAAGGACATGCTCGAGTTAGTTTCTCAAGAGCTTTGACCCAAATAAAGAGTGTACTGAGCTAATCAAACTGTTACAGTAGACTCTTACAAACAGTATTTGGCTCCATCTAGTGGAGTAAAGAAAGACAAACTGCAGCAATATAGCCACAAGTGACATTACCTGCAGTGCAGAGTTTGGAGCTTAATGCTCACAATGACAAAACCAACATGCTGATGTTTAGTGAGTTTATGTTTACTAGTCATTACACGAAAACTGTTCAGTTTGGGTCCCAAATATTTAAAGGGAAAAACAGGCAGTTTTATTTTCAATGTCTGAAGACGATATTTCAATTCATATTTCTTCTTAGCATGACTGAAATTCAATAATAAAATTGCAATTTTAAGATCCTTAACTGTTTTCTGTTAATTATTTTTCATTTTGTCATGCCCGTTCTGACCATTTCTCACATCATATTTTGTGTCCATGAGTTTCATATTCTGTCCTTGTGCCATCTGTGTATTTCAGTGACATCACTCAGAGGATATGATGTCATTAAGGAGTTTGAAGAAATACAATTGAAATGCTGGTGAGTTTTAATTTTCTTAAAGATTTTTGTTTTTGGCAAATTTTTCTTTCAAAACTCTCTCTGGCAAACGTAACTTATGCAAAGTTCTACATGTGGTTATGTTAAAAAATATTAAAATTCCAAGGTCCAATCTGAACAATTTCCGTGGAATGACCCTTGCCATGGTCACAATCTCAGTTTAGCATGTTAGCGTGCTAACACTGGCTGCTTAGCAGGACACAAAAAGTACTGAGGCTGAGGGGAACATCATTGGTTTGCAGGTATTTGGTCATAAGTCAAAGTAATCGTTTCTCAGTTGCTTTCTTAATGGCATTGAGTCATTGATACGAGGTATTTACCGCTTCACTTCTCCGTCTACATGACTTTCCTCGAGGGTAAACTTTTTCTTTGCCCTCAGTGGTACAATAAATGTGTCCCCAGATGCCATAAAGATGATGGGCATGGTGGGATCTTCAGGACATTTTTTACTTCAAGTAGTTATCATTTGAACATTACATTTCCGTCTTTATTGGACTGTGAAGTGAAGGCCGGGGGATATAATACAACAGAGAATGGGCAGTGAAGCTGGTTTAAGGTCAGTTTCACACTGGGAGCGTAGCAGCAGGAGCAGCCGGGAATGAGCCTGATGATTGACTGAATGACAGCCAGTTAAGTGTTTATGCCTCAGACTCAAATGTGAACACAGGAGAATCCATCACAGAGAAAGTACTAGCTTGCCTGTGAGTTACACCAGTGGCGCCCCAAGGAATTTTTCATAATGGTGGCCAGATGGGGCCACTGAAAGTCCTGGGGTGGCAAAAACAAAAGCCATAACTGAATTTTAGGAATCCTATTATGCTGTTGAAGTATATAGGCTGGTTAAAAACTTATGTCAATATGGGGAGTTAAGGAATTACATACTGATGTGTTTTTGTTTCTTAGAATAATACTGGTACAGTTAACAATTTGAGTTCCACAACAATCTTGTTTTAATTTGTTACGTATCTGTACATGTTTGGCCGTTCATCGTCCTTCATATAGGCTGGTTGTCCTTTTACTTAAAAAGACAAATATACAGCTTTAATTTGAAGAGGTACATTGATTGTAAGCAATAAAACATTTACGGGGAAGAAGCCTTCTCAATCTTAGGGGAGACTCACGGGTACCTACAGAACCAATTACTATTCAGATATCTTGAGGTGAGGGTTCAAGGGACCCCTTTGAAAATGTCCATACTAGTTCTTCCCTAGGCAAAGTTTTGCCTTAAATTGGAGCGTTATGTAGCCTTCTTCCCAACTTGGTAGTATGAGATGGTTGGTACTGATGCATGCCTCAGGTTGTCTAGTTTCACAAGATATCATGACCTTCGAGCTATCTTAAAAACGACCCTGCCACAGCCTGTTAAAGACGCTGAATCCGCCTTTAATTATTCTCACCAGGGTGGGCCAGGAGGACCATGCCCCTTCCTGGCCCCCCCTTTGGTGCACCACTGGCTTGGCATTACATAACTCTCAGACGAAGTTAGCGACTAGCATGCAAACATAGTGGAGTATTTAGCTGTTAAAGAGTTGTTGCAGACCAAACTGTCTCTGTAGACGGAAACTCAACTCTCTAGTTGTTCCCTCGCCAAAATTTACCCTAAATTTGCAGTGTTATTTAGCCCTCATCCCGACTAGCTAGTATGACATGGTTGGTACCAATGGATGCCTTAGGTTGTCTGGTTTCACGAGATACGACTACATTCATGCTAGCTCAAAATATGATCATGGCACAGCCTCCTAAATACAATAATGTCAGCCTCCAATTGTTTTTGCTAGGTTGGGCAGCAACTGTGGTGCCAGAGGGACCGTGGCCACCCCTTGGGGGCGCCAGTGAGTCACACTAAAGGCTCATTTATGCTCCCTTTACGTACGAAAATGTATACGTCCGTTTCAAACGATGTTACCGTCACTGCCCACATACTTCCATGCGCCCTTTACGCTGGCATGGATGTTAACCAGGGAGCAGCGCAGCGTCAAAAGTTTATGACAACAACAAACTCAAAAACAAACATGGCGACTGTGGAGGAGATATTGATAATGTACCTCTTGCATAAAAGACAAAAACAGAGGCAGCGTTGTAGGAGGCGGTGGTCAGTGAGGCCGTTAAACACATCGCGCCTGGAGGACGGAGAATTCTTTTCTCTAGTACTGCCGATGAAAGGAATTGAATTGTTACTTCTTCTTCGTGTCTCACTATAGCTACGTATCAGGTAGTGACAGCAAGACTGCCCCCACGGTTCCCGGTGGTACTGCTCCGTTTGGCCCGTATCCGTAAGCTTTATGGAAACATGCAGAAATACGGACGAAATGAACACGGAGCATGGACAGAAGGCTCCTTCCGGATCCGGATCTGTATTTAACGTTGAGCATTAATGAGCCTTAACATGGCTTTAAAAGCAAAAAACAAACAAACAAAGCACAGGATCCAACAAAAACTTAACCGGCAGGCTTTTGAACTTTATTGGCATTTTTTGCAAGAGATTATCTGTCAATTCCAGTTACAATAAATGCATAACAACTTTTTCAGAAGACGTTACAAGGATTATCTTGGACTAAAAAAAAAAAGTTTGTCTGCCGTCTTGTTTTTTCTTCATTTATTTACAAACAAAGAAATGTAGTTGTACTAGATTAATCCTAATATTACCCCACTCATTCAGGTGGATAAATCATGCAGCAGAGCTATAATTCATTGAAAGGTCTTGATATTGCTGAAAGAAGCTTTAGTTGGATATGACCAGTTAAAAGAAAAAAAAAAGCATTTAAAAATAAAAAAGTTGGGCAATACTTAAGCTGTCACAGTTTAGGCTAAAAGCGATGAAACAAGACACACAATAACAATATTATCATTGTTGAAAAATAAAAAGTGCAAAAGGCAAATTATCCATTTGGGATGATTAAGAATTCCAGTTGTAAAACTTGGATGGCTACTCTTTTTTTTTTATCTTTTCTCTATCCACCACATCAAGTTAAGCAGATTCACAAATCATACTGTACAGAAGTTCTTCAAAGTGCAAATATTATGACTTGGCATAAGCTGGTATATACATTTCATTTTCTGGATGACAAAAATAATAATTAAAAAAAGCACGTTTCTCTTTGTCCAGTCAGGCTCCACTTTTCATGGTGCACAAGCTCATACAGACAACTGCACTCACACTGGACAGCATCCCCTCGCTTCATCACTGTCACCAGACATGGCAACATGTGCTGATATTGTTCTCAGTTTGTCACATGATAAAAGGTCTCCACCGTCCTAACAGGAGCTATGTTACATCACTAAGAGCGTCTCGCTCCACCTAAAGAAAATTTGAATCTAATCATAAAAGCCAAAAAAATCCCAGAGAGAGATCCACGTGTTGGGTTTCTCTAAATCATGCACGACATGCAGAACCAGTCACATTTTAATAGCTTTTATTGCATTGTCCTCTGATTGACTTTTAATTAAAATAAATTTGTTGGCAAGTGTATGAGCACCTCAGCTATATCTGAAAACTTCACTCTGGAGCGAACCTGATCTTTTAGAACTAAACTATTCGACTACACCTACTCCATGATCACAGGACTTTACATCCACGACTACTGTAGGGCATTACAGAGAACTAAATTGCATACAACTCTTTTAATTGAGTTGAACTCAAGCCTGGCACGTAACAGTTGTATTTAAAAATGCTTATCATCAGCACCAAAGCAGGAGATGAAGCGGACATCCCACACAGTCCTGCCTTTGGGCCGCTTCCCACCGATTTCACCAGAGCAGCCTGTGTGGCCTAGAAACACTGATTTGTCCAAGGAGCCTCCTCGGGAGCTTACAGATACTGTTTTGCCAGACGCATTTGGCAATCAGTGCGGAGCTTGAGAAGAGAAAAAGCAGGTGTATGATGTTTTACAGATCTGTTGTGATATACTGAACCACAGAAAGGTTACTAATGTATTTTTTTACGTATAAAATATGGTTAAAAACAGATGATTAAGTTTTGGTTTGGATAGTTAGGCAGATGCTTTTCATTTTTCTTTGATTCAGAGAGAGAAAATGTAGCCCTCCTCTAGATATGTCATGACATTTTACTGCATAGGTCAGGTCAGCATGACAGTTTTTAAAAGGCAAAGACAGGGAGGAAAAGGGATTTGTGGATCTGTGTGTGCAGATGCATTCATTAGATTCAGATCTTTTTCTCGGTAGCTCACAGATTCAGCTTGTTTTTGGTTGTTTCGATTATTTCCAAGCTGCCCTTTGTCATATTGTCTGGTCACACGGTAAAAGGTCAACAGGTGTGAAGCTCTTAAGATGTGTTTGGTTTAAAGGGTTAGTTTAGATTTTTTGAAGTGGGTTTGTACGAGGTACTTATCCATAGACAGTATATTACATACAGTAGCAGCAGGCTGGAGTTCGACATGAAAGCTCAGCAATGGAGGGAGCAAGCAGCAACCGAAAAAAGTCCCACCTAAACAATCAATATCATTCAAGAGGACGCTATATTTAGAATATTTTCAGTGCTTTACCTTAATGTCAGACAGTGATTTTCAGCTGGAAATTAAAGCTGTTCGACTTCCTGTTATGTTGCTCTCTTCTTTACCAGACTCCATTGAGAAAAACAGTGATTTAATACTGCTGAATACAGGAGCTGCTGGTCTACCGCTGCCTCAATCAGCTGTTTTGTTTGTGTTACTGTGTGACTTCGGCGTTCAAACGGGTTAGTTCAGGTTCACCAGAGTCGCACAATAGCACAAACTAACCAACTGAATGAAGCAGTGGTAGACCAGCAGCTCCTGTGCTCAGTGAGCTTAAATTACCGTTTTTCTCAATGGGGTCTGATGGCTGTAGTGAGAGCATAGATAACTGATCTGTTAATGGCTTTCCGGTCTGATGGAAAGGTAAAGCAGTGAAAATACTCTCAATATAGCGTACACTTTTTTAAGGTGGCTAAAGTACGTATTGTTGCTGGCCCCCATCCACAACAGTACATCGCTCAGCTTCCACGTCAGACTCCAGCCTGCCTCTCCAAACTGGAGAAGTGCTGACTGACATCTGCTGTATGAAATACACTGACTATGGATTTACACACCATACAACCCCACTTAAAAAAATCTGAACTATCCCTTTAAAAACACTATAAGCATTGCGGTGTGTGATATGTAAGACTGAGATGTTGGAAGGATGCTCACATGTTAATGCACAAAAACGAAATACATCACATTTAAAGTAAGACTTGTTTAAAACACCCTGAACTTAAAAATATGGAATGGCAAAGCTGGAGCCCAAACTGCTTGAGATACATTGTAATGTGCAATAAGTCAAACAGGCTGCACTCAGTTTGAAATCCTTACTGGATCTTTGTCGCAAAAGCCGGAGGAGAGATGTGAATATCAAAGGCTCAGAGTAGGTTTCCACTTCCTGAACATGATCTATTTTAAAAGGTTTTCTTATTTAAATATAAGCTTATAACACAGATTTCTTGTTTACACAGGTTAAGTGATAAATGAGCAACTGTAACTTTTGTTTTACCTATGTTTAAGATGTTTCATTGAAATAGTTTCATTGTGCTTTCATTTGGTGTTTCTCAACTCTCCAGCTACTGGATATCTCATTTTGGCTGGCTGAATTTGCCTCAGGTAGCGCCGAGGTCATGCATCTCAAAAACACTCCTACTCTTGAGAGCCATGACACATACGTGGGACTGCTTTTTCACACTGTGTTGAAAATCAAAGGAAAAATGAAAAACAAAAAACAAAGCCGGGGGAAGAGATCTGATCATCAAAGACTTATTTTTTCGGCTCGGTTCAGGAGTTCAGAGTGAGCCACGTTATGCTTTTAATGAGACCGGTAACACTTTTCTCCCTGTGTCTTTTCCTTCATTCCTTCCCTGTCTCCTCTCTTCACTGCAAGGCTCCTCGCTCAGGTCATTTGAGGGGGAGGGAGGGAACTTCACATTGGAAAGGAATGCTGATGTGTGGAAACCTGTGGGGAATAATCATTAGGACACGCGGCTGCATCATATTTCTTTTTTCTTTTTAGTTTTCATCGGAGATTTTGCTTTACCTGTTAGTAGAGGAAGAAGAGGCGTGTTCTATGAGAGGTGGCCATATTCTCTGACATGTTGCGCACTTTAAGATAGTTAACAAAACCCCTGAAGAACAGCAGCAGACCTGCGGAGGGACAGCACAGTCCACTTCACAACAGAGATCTCCACCTTTGAGTCGACGAGACAACACAAGATGAAAAAAATATAAACTCACCGAGCAACAGGAAGATCCACCAGAGCCAGTACTGACCGTTGAAGTAGCCAGTGAAGTAGTCAGAGAACTGGACACAAAGATTACACGTTCAGTATTTCATCATGGAGACGTCAAAGTTCAGCACTGATATAAGAAGAACTGTGAACATACCCTGACGATAAGAATCCACTTGATGAGGGAAAGGCCGAAGCCGCAGATGGCTCCGTAGCGTCCGGCGATGGTGTTGGTCAGACAGAAGGACAGGCAGAACCCGATCCAGTTGAACAGGAAGGCCACTACGGGGACAAACAGGAAGATGCTTTATTATTTCGCTTTGCAAAGACAACATAAAAGAAAATAGACATGATGATTTTATTTAATTTACATTTCAATCTGCCATATTTGCAACAGCAGAGGAAGAACATAACGCTTTTTGTTCAACAATTCTGAGGCGACATCCACACTAAGACGTTTTCATTTTACAATGCATAACTATTGCTACGTTAACGCCATGCATCCACACTACTCCGATGTTTCGGAACCCCTAAAATGGAGACCTTTTAAAATGCTGCTGACCTTGTTTTAGTTTGAAAACTCAAAGGCTGTGTTTTAGTGTGGATGGGTGGAAACTGAAACTTTATGCAAACAGTGATGCAGACACCTTCATCCACATCCTGATTGGGTTATAGATAGCTAGGCCTACATACCTTTTGTGATTTCAACCATTTCGTGAGGGTACTCCTTTCCCATTGCCATGGAATGGATAATGCTGCAGGTACCGATCTAATATGTCGCCATATTTGCTTTGCAACGACCCTCAATCTGTTTTCTGCAGTTCCACTAGCAGTTCCACCACGTCATCAGTCCGAGTAAAAAAATCTGTGGTCTTACTTTTCTGTAGTATTTTCTATAATTAAGCACCCAACCACAGAGTAGACAATCTGCTTCCTGTATACATCTGCACCTGCATGCCCAGTGTACGCGAATGGTTATGTGATGTGTCTTTTCAGGCACCTTAGTATGGACAGATTATTTCTGAAATGTAATGCAATTCTAAAATGAAAACATCGTAGTGTGGATGTAGCATTACACTAGATTTATAATCCTGGCTCCAGCCCTATTAACAGAAGCAATTAAAATGTTACCATGAGATGGACTTACTGAAAAAGGCCAACATGAAGATTCCATCGTTCCCAACCCGAAGTTGATCGGCATCGCTGAAATCATCTCTGGGAGGGAATTCATCATCCTGGATGCAAACAAACCACATATGAGTTTGCAGTCCGCAAATGAACTAAAAGACATGTTTGACCTCCCTCACCCTGAGACCTATTTCATTCACAGGCACTGCCACTTAACACATGCTCAATCAAATCTAAATATGAATGACTCATTCATAATACGTAGCTTAGCAGGTAAGAGTCGTAATACAAACCACAACACCAGCATGTAATGAAGACTAATTACTACCATTTATTTTGTTCCTACATGTCTGTTGAGTGGGGTAGTTCAGATGTAGCGTGCTTTGAGGTAATCCCCACCCTTCTCATGTGTAAGTAAGAGAACACACACCACAAGAATAGCTTGCAAATATTATGATGTCACAAAGGTCGTTTATTACGCTTCAATGAAAGGACATTTATAAAACAATAAGAGAGATAACAAGAGGAGTGTGTGTGTGTGAGCATTTGTCTTTACCCGTGGCATCACCTCCACAGTAGAGGTCGCCATGGCGGCCGCTTTGGCTTTCTCCGCTTCGTCATATGTGGGCAGTGAGGTGGCGACGCTGTAGGGCGGAGGCACTGGGAAGTCACCTCGGTAACTGGTCTCTGTGGAAACAACAGAGAGGAGAGGACTTGGTTACAAAGGGAAGAAATGGGACTCCGTGCAGTATCTGGCTGAGCAGCTGCCAGTAATGTGGTAATGCTGCCATGGAAATCAAACACTGACTGATGAGTCAAGACTCTCCAGAAATTGCCACGAAACTGCTGCCGTAGCTATTTAAGGAAGTATGCAACCACACGTTGGAAAAATCCAGTTGCAGCTCATTTAAAGGAACTATTAGGTTAAATGGAAACTAAATAAAGCAGGATTCTTTTTATGCATACCAGGTGCTGCAGCGGTTGCTCCCAAGTCAATGGAGGCGTACGGAGGTGGAGGTACCTCTCCCTCCCCCTGAGTCCCTGATCCCGACGCTTCCGCTCCCGCTGCAGCAGGCGCCGGTCCGGCCTGGGCCTGGCTCTGGTCCTGGCTGGACGTGCCAGCCTGGGCTGTGGCAGAAGTGCATGGCTGCTGCTCGCTGGTTGAGGCCTCTGAAGAGTCGTCCTCATTGTGCAACTGCAGGAGAGGATGAGACGGGGGTTAGAGGAATCAGATCAGCTGATCAGTCAGCTAAAAAGTGTGGCTGCTCGAGGGGACGTTCACACTGTGCCAAGTTTCTAAAGCTGGCATCAATCACATATTTTCTGCCATGCAGAATGAACTGCTTTTAAAAGCTGAGACAGGTAAAGACTGTAAGATACGGTAATTGTTATTTTAGCCACCTATTTAGCCAAGTATTTTACAGTCAGACATGGGTACTGTGTTCTGATGGCAGCACCAACATCAGGTAGTTATTGTGCAACAAAATGAGCTTTGCACAATCTGTTTTTGTTTGTCAGCACAAAATGTGGGTCAGTCCCCCCTTTTATTTATTTTCCCTTTTTTAAAATGGCATTTTCAAGCTGAATGAGTGAATGGCAGCTCCCTTTGCATATTAATTTTTTCATTAAATTAATTTTATTGAACACACAAGTTAAGTCATCCTTGTTGGTCATCATGTGTAAGGCATTTATTTATCAGATATAATGAAGCAAAAGATCAACTTCTGTTTTATTTTATTTATCTTTTTTTGTGCTAAACATGTTAGAATGCCAGCCAATCATGACATCAATCAAACATTTATCAAGTTAAGCCATCTTCATTTCATTGGATAGTCAAAATCTCATGAATAAAAGGCTATTCCTGGTAGTTCTCAATGGGAATGGCGGGGTCCGCCATTCCTGCACTGTATTCAGATAGCCTGTAAGACAGCTCTGTTTAATTTCATTGTTAACAACTTCACCATTTACTGCTCACTCTCTTTATACTGTATCGCAGCTGATTAATTAACCACTAATTCAAACAGCACATTTCCCACTGTCAATCCTTCACATTAAAAGCGTTCAACTAGCAAAACACAGGTTGGCTTTTATTTTAAAGCTGCCACAAAATTTAACACTAAGGATTACAGTTTTTATTGCTACTTGGATGTGTGCGCTGTAATAATACTGCTACGGTACACATGTCTACATTTGCTTCACCGTTTGCCCTCAGCAGCATGTTTGACACTCTAAGCTAAGAGACCTGACATTACATCAGTATGTCAACAGAGGAAGGTCTCTGGAAAAGTGATACACATGTAATCGGTTAATGAGTGTCCCCGCTACAGCTGAGAGAGTCAGTGACATTAATTTTCACCAGACCAAAGAGCCAAACACCCTCTGAAATTACAGAGGGAAACATGATGGGTACAGAGCCGCTGGCGGGAAACCAGGGCGGGCAAAGTGAGGCAGGGTTTCCTCCTCACACTCTCTGTGACTTCCATCAAGGTGCCCTTGAGAAAGTTAAGTTAAACCAAAATAGCATTATGCAATCTTTTGCCCTATAACGGCAATAACAGTGATACTGATCTTGATAAAATACAACACATTTGTTTTTTAATTCTATAATATCAAGTCAAAAGTCAGCAGCACGTATAATGTTTTATGGTTGATTCTCTGGTATCTTAGCTTATAATACCTATAATTAACAGGTAAAAACCGCAGACTAGTTATGTGTTACACTGTGGACACAAACCCAGGATTAGCAAAAGCTAACTCAATGTGGCTGAGCAAGTTAAACTTGTTCAGAGCTCTGTCACAAATATCTGAAAAACACAAGTGACAGCTGTTAGGGTCGGTTTCTGGAACACAATGTCCAAGTTAGGATGAAACTGTATACTGTTGTACTGCTCACTTGTGTTGTTATACCAAACATCATGAGCCTTCTGCTTCTAAATCTTTAGTGAAAAACCGTCATGGAGTTTGCAGTTTTAGTTTGGTGATGACCTCGCTTTAGTTTTGGCTGCAACTAGGTTGGAGGTCGTGCTGTGGTAAAACACCAGCGCAAACATGGAAACCCCCTTCGTAACAACAGCTGACATCAAACTGATCACTAAGAAGTCACAGGTGACTAAGAACAGGAGAGCGCAGTTAACCACCATGTGAAAGAAGAGGTAGTCATACTTAAAAGGAAATATCTTCATCACCATGCAGATAAACTTCTCCAAAAAGCCCTCGAATTCTATCTTGTAACACTCCACCAGCACATTCGATGCACAAGGTAGGGAGTGAATGAGTGGCTGACGACTGGCTCGGAATCAAGGACAAAGCATAACGCACCCCCGCGCACAGGGGATTACATAAGATCTTAACAACATAGCCACAAGCCTCCTCATGTGTCCAAATATACCAGAAACTAATGTGAGGCTGCTCCGAGCAGCAGTGCCCCATACTTGCAGAAAAGATTTCGAGAAGAATGAGAAAGCTAGGGGGCAAAATGTGGGGAGGAATGAGACGTTTGTGAATGTCGGCATAATGAAATAAAGATGGGGCTGTGTACAAACCATAACGTCAGATAGTTTATCAGTTTGGCCGAACGTGTTGAAGTGTACAGTCTCTAAATAATCCTTGAGAATCCATCGTCCAGAAGTTGACTAATGTGTGTAGTGCTCATGTTATTTTGCACGCTCAGGATTACTGTTGAATCTGCACTTTGTCCAGGGTTGAAAAGTTAGAGCACGTCACTGATTTGCTTTGGCTCACTCTGAATCCTGTGGGATTACCACTCACATACCCTGAACCACAGGAATCGGAGCACAAAGCGGACTTTATCTCAAAGTGACCACAACTGTTTCCAAAATCCCCCAGCCGCTGTTGATGCTTCAACATGCCTGGGAACACTTTAGACAGCATTAAATGCCACGTTTAATGCTGGTTAACCCAAATGGTCACCACATTATGAAGTTGTTTTTAACTCATCCACATGGGAACACAGTTTTTACTGCCATTAATAACTCACTGAATATCTTAATATCTGCTATAAGTTACAGTCATGCCTTGGAAAAGTTAGTTATTAAGTTATTACTTGACTGAACTTTATCTAGCCCTTTGGACTTGAATAGTTAACCAGGGTGTTTGCTATTATCACTTAGCTAAGTGACTGAAAAACTCCCCTTTTAGCTACATTAATTAGCCACACAACTCCCATGCTAATGCTAACTTCCAGCTTGGCCTCTTTAAACATGTGTTAGCTTACTAACCACCGTGTAACTTAAAAGTTTAAAAGTTTTACATACCCATATACCCATGAAAATATATGTTAAGTGTGTAATATTAAATTTCATGGCCTAAAAGATTAAATTTGGCAGGCTAGCTAACGTTAGCTCAGCCAATGCGGAAGTGCTTGAAAGGCTGTCAAAACAAAACGGTTCGCGGAAACAAGTAAAAGGTAAAATACAACAGAAGTAACAATTCAGAAGCGAATTAAAAGGCTTTGCTTTCGTGTCCACCCGATTTTGTTTCTTATAGTTGAATATTAAAAAAATAGAGATGCCTCATTTCTACCAGGGCCTTGTTTCCTGTGACAGGCCGAGCTATCAAACGGTGTTTTGATCTCGTCCGTCCACACTCACCACTTGGTATCGGCTTGCTGGGTCCATCCCGACGAGATTCAGCTGGCAAGCGAGCCAGCCGAGAACACAAGATTAAAATCTGAGTTGTTTTTGCTCTTAAGTGTGTGTTAGGGACAGGAGATACTTCTCTCAGACAACAGGATACGGACCGATGACAGAAATGGCTGCAACCTACAGTGCACTCGCTTAGAAAAACACCGTTGTTGGTAAAACGTTGACCAGTCAAACTAGTCATTAAAGCTGCCACTTCCTGTCAGATATTTCAAAATAAAATATATAAAAATGTAATGCGTCAATTTGTATCTTGAGTAACACCGAAGTAATAATTAATTAGTAATAACATTTGAACTCCAGAAGCTTTGACTGCCCCTCTCACCCCTTAAAGGTGCAACATGATCTAGTCCGCCCTTTCACCAGGATTCGTCTCGTAACACAGCTAGAGCCAAGTAAATAACTGCTTATGCTAGTGGAGCACAAGCATACGCTGTCATGTCTGTCCCCAAGAAAGGGAAATCAAGGTTCCTAAAAATAAAAAAAAGACAGAAAAGGGGGGAAATTTACAAAGATGCTTGAGAGAAGCATGGGTCAAGAGAGGAATGTCATGGGGCCCACAGTGACTGCTTGTAGCCCGCCCCTGATGATTCATTAACACGTCACTTGGTTATTGTAGAGCCAATTTTAGCTCATTTTTAATATACTCTTTGGAATTTTAATGCATTGTACTGCATCATATTTTATAGGGCTGATATTTTTTTATTCAAAATTTTGATTAAATAAGTAGGTAATTACAGATTCATTAAATTTGGTGATATGTAGTATATATCTTACACCATACATTATACCATAATGTTGTACTCTAGATTGTGGTAGAGGAGAGTAGCTAGACATGGAAGTACTCAAGATAAGATGAGATTCACATGTTACAGCAGCTCAAATAGAACGGTTAGAAAAGCAAGTTGAATGGCAGTAGAATGCATTTTGAATACACATAAAATACATTTTATATATATATATATACAGTACAGGCCAAAAGTTTGGACACACCTTCTCATTCAATGCGTTTTCTTTATTTTCATGACTATTTACATTGTAGATTCTCACTGAAGGCATCAAAACTATGAATGAACACATGTGCAGTTATGTACTTAACAAAAAAAGGTGAAATAACTGAAAACATGTTTTATATTCTAGTTTCTTCAAAATAGCCACCCTTTGCTCTGATTACTGCTTTGCACACTCTTGGCATTCTCTCCATGAGCTTCAAGAGGTAGTCACCTGAAATGGTTTCCACTTCACAGGTGTGCCTTATCAGGGTTAATTAGTGGAATTTCTTGCTTTATCAATGGGGTTGGGACCATCAGTTGTGTTGTGCAGAAGTCAGGTT